GCACGGAGGGTGTGTCCTCCAAGATGTGAGCTTCTGCTGGTTCGCTAAATGCCTCGAACTTGATGCTTGAACGTTTGGTCGAACACGTTACCCCATTTGCTGTATGGAAGTTGACGACCTTGTCATCGTATGTTGGGAGATCCATTCTACTTATTCGTGTGGATGAAATGAGATCATGGCCACTTCCAGAATCCAATATGAATCTCTTATCTCTCTCTTCAACAGGAACAGTGATACACATTGTGTTGCCCCTTTTACCATATCGACCTTCAATATGCTGAACATAGTTTTCCACAAAAACTTCCCTGGACACCTCACCGTCCTCGACGTCGAGTCTGATCAGGATGTCCATGCTAGGGCCGACTATGACCAGGACTTCATCAATGTCACTGTGTTCACCCTTCTCATCGATCAGAATAGCCATTGCTTTCCTCGGCTCGAAGCTAACCTGCATGAATAAGACCATTGCTCATCTTTCCTTATCTGATCAGTGGGCTTGCCAACTTTACCATGACCTTTGGGGATGGTTTGGGATTTCCGGCTGCACTTCACGAAGTCCTTCTTCACGTAAGTTTGAACTTGAGTTTTAGACTCATCAAATCTGATCTTCTTCTTGATCACGTTCGATGCAACCTTATGGAACGTCCCTTCATCATCACTCCAATCATGGATAAGTGCAGGAGTAGCCTTTGAGCTTGGTGCTTCAGTGTTTGGAGCAGTGTTGAATAGATGAGGATCGTGGCGTTTGTTGCATTTGTCTCCATACCGACACTTGCCCTTAGCCCAATGCCAGCATGGTTCATCAATCTTCTTGGTCTTGTTTGCCGGAGATTGACTTCTTGGAGTTCCTGGCTTCCGACCGTTGCCTTTTGCATTCTTGTTCGCATCAAATACCTTTTGGTCGTGACTGTATTCACAATCCTTGCCTTTTCTGCATGCTTTCTTGATGAAATGGAAATGGCATGGGATCTTCTTCTTGGATCTGGGGCTGGTACTTCGGCTGTTTGCTCGATCCTTCCCTTTCCCTTGACCTTTTCCTTTTCCTTTCGCATGCTGTTTAGGCTGAGGTGATGGTAGAACTGGAGCTGCATCGGCCTTGGCCTTCGCCTTGGGCGCTGCCTTCTCCTTGGGAGTAGCTTTAGGCTTCGCTTTTGGATTTGCATCCGGTGCAGCAGCAGTTGGGTTCGGAGCAGGAGCTGAAGGTTTGCCGCCGCCTGCAAAGTCTCTCGCATACTTCTCTCTGGCTGCCACATGCTTGTCCTCTCTGATTCTGGAGATGTGCCTTTCGATGACATCCAACAGGTAGCGATAATTTCGTCTTTGGTCTCCTTCCATCCATGACTCGTACTGCTTGATGTCGAACATCATAAGACTCGAATTTCGAATCTTCTTGTATAGAGCGTCACGAAGCCAATCATCAGGAGGTACGTCATCCGGCATCATGTTTGATACCATCTCCATCCATTTCTCGTAGAACACTTCTAGGTTCGAGTCACCGAGATACTTCATCGATACGATGTGCTCCATGGTGAAGGATGTTTCTCGTTGACCTGGGGTTCTGAAGTGCTCCAGAATCAAAGCCAAGATTTCCCGTCCCATGACATAGGTTCCTCTTCGGCTATGACTTTGTGTTCTCAATCTCAATTTGATCGCTACATGACGAGCAACATCACCGGCTTGGGCTATCACGTTTGACAATGCAATTGACAACTTGGCGTCGATGGACTGATACCGTTGCCCCCCACTGTCATTCAACAGCTCGATGTCAGGATTTGGTCGAATAGCCGGCTGTAGCCATGCTTCCCATGCGGCTTTATCCCCGTCATTTGCCGAAAGAACAACACTCTTGATGAGATCTGATTGCCAAACCCCAAGATTCTGTTGCTTTGGCCATGGGCTAACATAGACTTTGTCAGCCTCTCGTCTTGACATTCTCGGTACTTCTTCCGCAGTGTAAGCCGCTGTGGAGACATCATCTGCTGAATCGCGTTGTGATCCTCGAACTGAAGGCAAACCAGGAGGTTCAGGAGGTGGTCCTGGACCGTTAGGCCCAAAAGGGTCCGGAGGTCCATCAGGGTCAGGCGGACCGCCCCATCCACTCGGTGGCTTGTAATAGTCCCTCTCAGTTCCGCCAGCGATCTTGTTGTCAACCTCTTTCAGCAGATCAGCGATTCTTTTGCTTGATTGAGAATGCTGTTGTTGTTGAGGAGGTACAGCATGCCCACGATAGGAATGAGCCACATTTGTCTCATAAGTCAACTCCTTGTCGATCTGCGAAACCCAAGATTTCAGAATAGCGTTTTCACAGTTAGCCTCACTCACGTCATTCTCCAGTTTGTCGATGACCAGTCTGGATGCGAGATCGGAGTTGGGAATGCCTGCCGAATAGGGAAGTGTGTCAGGACTGATCCTAGCCATAGATGTTTCAGAATCCTTGAGACTTTTTCTCAGTTCATCTAAGTGACGTTTCATGTCAACAATCTCAGAATTCTTGATGCCAATCTTTTCATCCCTATCCTGGATTTCCCCCATGAACATGCATGATCTCTCATATTGTTGAACACCACTCGCCAATTTCAATTTTCGCTCACTCTCTAGTTCAGATCTTAGAGTTCGGACCTCAGCATTGGTGAGGGACGACGCCCCTACATCCGCAACTTCAGCCAACCTTTCTTTTAACAACAAGTTCTCTTGTAAGCATTCATGAACTTCATGATCTAGATCCTGAACCCTGATTTGAGCGATCTTAGCTTGATTACGTAGATCTTCAACAAGCATCTCTTCGGGGCCACGACCGTCGGTCGTAGAACCCTGAGTCAACGATCTTCGTAACTTCGTGTTCTGCAACTTGATCTCATCCTTCAATTCGCAGTTCATCTTCTGCTCGTTGGCATAGAGCTCTTCATAGTGCTCTGCCCTTGCGATCGAGTTTGCACTAGCCTGTGATTCAAGCCTCAGGTGAGATATTGCTTCGGCCTCTTGGTTCCTGTATGATGCAATTCTTTTGACGGTATCATGTTCAGTGTTTCGATGCTTCAGATCACTTTCCAATTTGGCCTGATTTGCCTCGAACACCTTCTTCCTAGACTCTCTAGTGATCTCATCAATACTGCTCTCATACAGCTCGGCCTGTTTACGAGACTGAACCAAAGCTTCACTCAATAGCTGATTTCGCTCAGATAATTCATGAACTGCAATTGATTGTTGTTGGCTAATCACTTCAAGTTGATTACTAGAGAAGGATGCCATTTCGGATCGATTACGATATTCCATGATTGAGTTCTGGAAATCTGTTTGCATTTCTTGACCTTCATTGTATAGTCGATTGGCAATATCGGTGGTTAAGACATTGGTTTGATGAAGTTGTTGTAGTCTTGCCTCCGTATTACCCAGTAGTCCTTGAAGGTGATGTACTTCATCCTTGTACTCTTCCTGGATCTCCATACCACGTTGATGGATCCGTCGTGCACCATGTTCCATTAGGGCACCTCGGCGTTCAAGGTCTTGGATGCGTATTGTTGCACCTTCGTCTTCCTGAGATGCTACCATTAGTTCTGCTTGATATTCTGCAACCTCATTTGCGGAACATGACAATCTATGATTGAGTGCATTGACCTCATCAAATACATTCTGATTGTGTTCCCAAAGATACTCAGTGAATCTGATCTCGATGTCATGAATCAGTTGATCCCTGGATGCAGCGTATGCTTCCATGTTGTTCAGCTGATTACGTAGGGATTGACATTGCGCCCGTAGTTCCTCTATCATGGCAATAGGTTCACTAGCCACAGAAGTATCCGTTGATCTCCTCTTAACACGACTATCCCCGGTCCTCTCACCAATTCGGTCGGTCACGGCCCTGGTGGATCTGTCCCTTGGAGTAGTACGTCCTCGAGATGGTCGATGCCCTTGGCGGACAACATCACTCCGAGCACTGTTTCGAGAAGATCTAGGTGTACTTTGGGTAGATATTCTTCGTCTGTTTGATGTGACTTGCCATCCGGACTGTGTAGTTCGGGTAGGGCGTATCCCGCCACTGTCTGCCGTGTCGCCAGGGGAAGATTGATTGACCTCCTCGACCGGCATAGCAGCGTTCTCATTGAAGGTAAACTGCGTGGTGCGCGAATCTCCGCTGCCGCCTTGCATCTTTGCGATGATGAGCCGATTGGTCCTTTGCGTCCTCAATCAATTGCTCAGACGGCCCGGCTACCAGCACGCAGGTACCACTCTCCCGGCGGGAGAAGTGAGCCCTACGGCTGATAACCTGTGAACAAATTGATCCTTGTTCTGGATTATCCCTTTTGATTGTAGTACCGGTTGTGCTGGTAGTGCAGGGCAACGTCACTGCATGGCGTTCGGAGAACGGTCTTTTTCCTCGCGCATGACTTGAGCCAAATGATTGGCAGTCCATGCATCACTGACTACATGCTCAGCATGTGAAATGATTGTATTACCTAGTTCCCTTTCGCACATACATACATACATATATATATATATACATACATACCTATATATACGTATTTATCCTCACTTGATTTTTTCATTCTGGCTTAAATTTGCATGCTTGAAAGGTGAAATCCTAATGTTGGTGGCAGTTTTTCTCAGAAAAGTAGGGTGTGAACTTCGGCAAACATGAGGATTTTGGGATGTCATCTGCAATAATTATTGAGACTTAAAGCAAATGGGGATTGTTGGGAATTTGAAGAGCCCAAAATGTGTATGTGGATGGCAATGGGCCAACGTTTTTTTCATGTTTTTTCCTTCGAGAACCAAAGGGACAAGATTCTGGCCATGTTTGGTATTCAAACATAGGGTTGTTGCAAGAAATCATGTTGAGCCATGTCTGACTGTCTTGTGTACCCCCGGGCGTGAACTTATGATGTTTTTGGGAGTCCCAGACCCCTTTTTGGCAGAAAGCAACAGAGAGACCCCATTTTTTGACCCATCAATTTTGCAGGGTTTGGAGTTCCCAGGCAGTCCCTTCTTGCAAACAGAGGTGCTGGGCCAATTTTCAACTCAAAGGGGAAGTAAAGCAAGCTCCTGCGACCCTCGCTAGCGGCCAACCACTGCAAGACTGCCTTCAATTCGGGGCAACCCTCCTCAGATGATCGCAACGCACTCCATGGGCACTTTCCAGGGCGAGATTTCCGCGTTGTAGTGGCAAATTAAACCAAGAGAGTGGCTTCAACCAAGTGGACATGATCCACTGCCTGGATCACCTTCAATATGTGGTAACCCGAGGTGACAACCATCATTGGTCCATCACCAGCTCTACGGTAACCCCCATGAGATGGTATATAATGCCATGCAAAGCCCCAGGTCTCACCTGTTGAACCCCCCAACAATATATCCTAGCATCACTATATCTATAATGGCCCCCAATATTATTGAGTTTCCTTGGGTTCTTAAATAGTATAAAGTATATAATATAAAGAAAATCAAACAAATCTCGGACAAGTTCAATAAAAAAAACATCTTTTGAGGTTGAATCCAAACCTGTGCTGCTTATATCTCTGCCATTTTGACTTGTTCAAACCCTAAGTTTTTGATCGCCAAAATCCTTTTTTTCATCAGTAGAAATCCATTGGTTTTCCCCCTGTGGGATCCAGAGAAATCCCATGACCGGGTCAGGTGGTTTTTTGCCCCTGAAAAAAACATCACTTGGAATCATCCTCATGGGGGGTCCAACTTAAACAAAAACAAATCACTTGGAACCTCCAAAAAGAAGCCGAAGCCCAAGACATCCCAAGACAACCTACTACGTTACTACATAAAATTATATGATGAATCACTTTTCTATATGTTCTTTCCTCTGGAAATCAAACATGACAGTGGAAGATCAAAATCCCTTATTTGTAGATGATTTTCTCAGCTGGGAACCTTCATCTAGTGCATGGATCCCAATAAAATAGTCCCTATTGTTGATGGCTAAATACTCAAAATCCCATCATTATTCACGAAAACTTCAATATTTCATGGTTTCTTAAGTCATGAAACATAAAAAAAATGAGATATCCAACAAAAATACTGAATCACCATTGATAGTTGATGACTTAAGATGTTTCTTTCACTACAAATTTGATCTTGGAAAATTTGGGCCCAAAAAAAAAATCCCATGTGAAACCCCCATGCCGTTCCAATCCCAGGCGCGAAGGCGCCACAGCCCCAGTTGCCGGTGGCGATCACCGGCCACTGCCGAAGTGCCACGTCGTCCACCGGCGCAAAGGCGGCCGCCGCCTTCTCCAACTCACGAAGCATCAGGGGCTCCTGGCGGAGACGAAGCAGGAGCCCAGGGTCAAAATGGGGAGTTTTTGGCCGAGGAAACTTGAGTTTCACATAGTTTAACTAATCAAAATGGTGAGTTATATAACTATAGGAGACAAATTGGGATTTGAGTTCTCATGCATGGGGATTGAACCAACATTTTTGTTGGGGATGTGACTGATGTCTCCAACCAAAATGGTGATTTAACATGATTTAAGTACTTGAAACAATAAATCAATCGACATGGAGGTTGAGATCGTGATCTTACCAGGAAAAAATGGAATGATCTGGAATGTAACTCAACACAAAAGGGCATTTCACCAGCAAACATGGGACTTGACCAACAAGCGACTGGTTAAATCCCAAGACACACTCGGGATTTCAGCAACGAAAAATCTGGATTTGACTTGCAAGAATTTGTTTCACCAACCACAAAGCAGCTTGAGATGGGGTTTAGCCTCCAGTAAAGTGACTTAATCCACCATGTACGGATCAAGTACCATAAGATTTCACTCAGCAGCCCCCCCCAAAAAGTAGCTTTAAGACCTTAGAAGCAATGTCACACACCTGCCAAGGCCCAATCCCAACCTGACAAAATCACCAAGAAACAAAGTGGATCAAAGTGGTAACTACCATTCGTGCATGACTTTTGCTGAGCCTTTTCTTTGGGCCCGGAGCTCCATTTCCTGCCCTCATCCAGCCCGCCACCTGCATTTGTCTTCGCAGGCTGCCTGGATATTGAACCAAGCTGAAAGCAACCAACCACTTTGCAGGCTGAAGCTGGTTCATGCTTCAAATATGCATGGATTTGTTTATATCATTGGAAGGTCATCATTTCCGGATCATTGTCCAGGCCTCGACAGGCCTACCGCTATGCAGAATGCATGCTGGGCGTTGGTCAAGTTGTCCCACATTCAAATTCTATCAGATTCTGCGACGTAATCCCCAACTGTTGGCTGAATCGTGGCGTGTGTATCGCCAAACCCGCCGCACCAATTCCTGCCGATCTTCCTGGCATTGGAAAAGCCTTATTAGCAATGATATTTATCATTGTGTGTCCATTAAAAATTAATATTGTGCGTGCATATAGTATATATGTGTATATATGTATGTATGTATGTATGTATGTACATTTTGGCATAATAATATATTACTAATATTACCGTTCAATATCTAGGATACTTAGGATATTCTTACCATCTGGCAAAACTAAAATAAACCTTGAAAATACTCAATTCTTGGTGGAAACTAATCTTCCAAGCCGTATCTGGCAGGGTCTGTCTTAATTTACTGGAGGGTGCTATACCCAGGATATTCGTACTATACTCAACATCAGCTTGGATTTGCTTAAGGACCCCCCAAAAAAAGCGTCTCAGAGATTCCGATTTCCAATTGAGAAAATGAACCAAATCATCTTCAGCAAATTCAGGTATAGAAACCATACTTACCCATAGTTGTCAATTCTCTCCATCGCCATCCCGAAGTTGTCAATTATAGCGTATAGTTATTTGGTAACATCACTTATATAGTCACATGAACTATTATGAACTACTCATATTGCATGTCAAAGTTAATAGTGTCGTAGTTCATAACAATATATTCAGTTCCTATATACATCAGATAATCACATTATACCATATAGTTATCAAATATACTTATATTGCATAGCTAGCAATTACCATCTGGTTATTTAACATAGCCATGGAAAATAACAATTTTAAATAGGTATACCATCATATACCATCTATAAATGGGCCATTTTCCATGGCTATGTTAAATAACCAGAGGGTAAACCATACTTACCTGGACTATACCTATTCTATGTACGTATTTTGATGGGTGTGTCTGAAAATAGTGTACCCCTAAACCCAATGGTTAATGATCATTATCCCTATTAAATGGCTATAATTGGGAATATACCCTATTTTCAGACAAACCCTGATAGTAATCGACATTACTTCAGAGACTTCTCGCTGTCCCAGCGTCTATCCTCTCCCCGGAAGTCCAAGGCATCCATAGCGGTGATGGCCACCAAGGGTGTGCCATCGGCGTCGCGGGGCGAGGGGTCCCGGTAGTCGCCACCGAACCTGGTGAAACATGGAGTTTTTTTTTTGGGAAAAACATGGGCAAACCCAATGAAATTCGTGAAACATGATGAAACATGAAGGTTTTAATGGGATAATCATCTCCATATAAAATAAATGGATTATTTTCGAGCTAACCATGTTCGATTACCGGAGGGTATGTTGTGTCATATCCAGTTAGTTGTCAGGTTATGGAACCAATCATATGCCATCAATGTAATTATATATACCGTTCTTGTGGCTTGTGCATTCATTTAAACCTGTTCATGATCATTTAGGAATGTATTGGTTGATACAATTGGTTAAGCCTTCAACTAACCAATGGCTGGGAAGACTTCCAGCTGCTGTGACACTGAGGCGATTTGTTCAGGGCACCCAAAGAGCTCTCGATGCATAGTGATCCCCAACATAAAATCGGAAAAAATCATCGGATTATCAATGACGTGAATGATAGTTGGATAATATTATACAACATGATGAGAGAAACAACATTAAATCACATTAATGACATTAATGTTATTTAATCAACAGCATCATTAACACGTCTATCATCTTTGGGACCTCTGTACTAAAAAAAACAACACACGCACAGAACCGTGATTCTGTGCAAAGCCAAAATGAAGTGCCGCGAATCTGCACCAAGAAACGCCAGGGATCTGGCATAGCCTGTGTAAGTGCAGAACTGCTCACCACCCACAATGGTAATGGCCTGCAAGGCACAGGGGTTAACTCCATGGTGCCATGATGTGCCATGAATCGCCACAGGGCACTTCCATCACCCTGTGGCAGTCGCAAGCGGCCGACCATCTGCAGAAAATGAGTTGAGTCTGCACATCGATCCGATTCTCTTCGCATATGTTACATATGTTAGAATTACATTAATTCTGGGTAGATAAGTGAGGTCGCAGTGAGGTCGTAGGGAGGTAATTAATGATCATTTACGCCTTCCAGAATCCCCAGCTGGACCAACGTGGTGCCCGACTCATCGGAGCCTCGTTTTCCAACATGATGGGGCACACCAACATGGCAGCGCAAAGCTCCGGACAAATGGCGAAACGAATCCTGAGCCCCCCGAGAAAATGTTGCCTGTCGGCTTCAAAAATGATGGTGAAATATGGTGAAATGGTGAATATGAGCTCAGGTCGATCGAGAATATTAACATTATATTAATATTAACCTATTTTTTTGAATCCATCAAGAGTGGTTGCCCTTCGCACGCTCTGACTGATTTGTACTCATAAAGTTCGGCCAGCCCTGAATCCTACGCTTGTGCCTAGGATCTCCTCCTGCACACATCCTCCAACCAGCACACCGCCCCCCAAAGACTTGTTGGCGAAATCCGCGTGAAGGCAACCCCTCCCAACCTGTGCCGTTTCAGGAGCCAAAAAAAGACCTGGTTTGTGACTGGGGATCATCACGTGTCAACATTGAACAATACGTGAAACCACGAAAGAGCCAAAAATCACTGGATTGGTTTAAGGGAAAATTTACAGGAAAGCCCCATATTTAATGGGAGAACCTATATAGTTTCCGGTTAAGATTTTCCCTTAAACCAATCCAATGACATACCGATGGATTGGGGCCATATTGGGGCCCCATTTAAATATATGGCCAGTGGTTGCGGAGCCATGGGCGGTGCAATGGGTTTCGCCAATTGCAATTGGGAACACCATGACTATAACACAGAAATATGAGAATCCACATAATGTAAACCCCCAGGTAATAGATGTTATTTATAAATTGGGATGGTTACCCAAAAAAGTGATATAATTAGTATGATATAGTAATTACTTCACAATTGGTGCCCCTTAGTAGTAAGCTGGTGGTTTATTAATCCTTCGTTAAATTTGCAGTAACCCATAATGCAATACGCATCAGCTTGGATTTGAAAACCTCCATTTGAATCATTTGATGCGCACCCTTGATCGGATATGAGTTACACATCAGCGAACTACTTCCCAAATGGGATGGTTTTCTTGGGAAATATTGATTACTTGCATTTGCAGGCCCCCCGAAAATAAACACAATCCCCCATCGATTACGGTCCCGGCTCCCAGCTTTTCCGCACCTCATCTTCGAAACCCGTGAGCTCGGGCGCGACCTGTATCTCCAGCAGCGGCAGCCGGGAATCTCGCCAGGAGGCCCGGCGTTTGTCGCGCACCTGGCCTGCAGTGAGAACGGGGTGGCAGTGGAATTCATGGGAAAACCATGGGAAAACCATGGGAAAACCATGGGAAAACCATGGGAAAACCATGGGAAAACCATGGGAAACCATGGGAAATGTGGTGATTTCATGGTGATTTTATGATGATTAATGGAACAATTATGATGATTGATGGAGATCCAATGGGAATCTATGTTTTTTCTTCCCTCTGGGCCCTCCATGCGGACCAATCTGCGACATGACACTCCCGGCATAGCCTATATTATTAGACCCAGCCTCGCATGCACTAGAACGACCTAATTCAAGAGAAGAAGGGATATATAATATATGGAAGGCCATCCAACTCTGGTCGAACATTCACCATGATCCCACTCAAGCACCGATACCTCAAATACAATACGGCGATGCCAAAGCAAGGTACACTGGTAGGAATGGATAATCGTTCCAAAGAGGCAGCAATATACAAAAGGAGACGAATGCACAGTAGAAGAAACAAGAAAACGCCCCAGGAATAAGCCAACGACATCATCAAAGGTGCACGACGTAGAGCACTGGACATGCTCTGACTACCCAAGGACACGTTGTGGCCAATGGTCTGATGTTGCACTTGAAAAGTAAACAACCACGTGTCCCGCCACTGATCCCATAATTTGCGGGAATCGATGATGATTAATGTGATGATTTCATGGTGATTTTATGATGATTAATGATTAATGGACATTTTATGGTGATTCATGGTGATTCAATGGGATTTCATGGTGATGAATGGGGATTTGATTGAATGTTGTTGTGATTGATGGTGACTTTATGGTGATGAATGGAAATTTAACTGACAAAAATGGGGATATGAATGGGAACGACCCTCTGGCACTTTGTTTCATAGCTATGCTGGTTATGCTATACATTGTCCAATTGATTCCATGGTTTACCGTTAAAGCATTTTTTCATAGCAAACCGCGACAAATTACCAGAAATCAATGTTGGTAACTTCAAATAAACACATAAAATAACCATACATGTATGTCGTAGATATAACATAGACAAACACACACACACACATCTATCTATCTTTCTATCTATCTATCTATCTCTCTCTCTCTCTCTATCTATCTATCTATCTACCTATCTATCTCTCTATCGAACTCTCTATCTATCTCTATCTATCTCTATCTATTTCTATCTATTTCTATCTATTTCTATATTTTTCTTTATATCTCTATCTCTATCTATCTCTAGCTATCTCTATCTCTCTCTCTCTCTATCTATCTCTATCTGTCTCTATCTCTCTCTATCTATCTCTATCTCTCTTTCTCTCTATCTCTCTCTATCTATCTCTATCTATCTCTATCTATCTCTATCAATCTCTATCTATCTCTATCTAACTCTATCTATCTGTCTATGTCTCTATCTGTCTATCTATCTGTCTGTCTATCTATCTATACACATAATTTGAATTCGTTGTTTAACTGATTATACATTCAATATATATATATACATGTTTTGTGGTGCGTGTGTGAGCATGGTCGTATGTTGACCGTCAAAACGTAGAACCTGCTCCAATATCAGGCACAGTCTGCAAAGCAATTCAAGCACCAATTGAAACCAACACACACCATACTTATTAACACCTGATGTGTTGGCTTGTGTTGGAGGATTTTGCACCTTTCTGATTACAGTATGTTCTTGCATTCCTCCATTCAATGGTTGATTCAAGGGGAAATATCTGCAGGAAACCGTGGACTTAACTTAACATTCTTATTTTTTGCCACAATTATACAGTAGATGATATTCCAATGGAGAGCTCCATTTATAGATATTTTTCCAGCCAGCCACGTTTGATTGAATGATACAAATGAAGTTCACCCATGGTTCACTGGTGTCCTGTTTACATTACTTCCCTTCAACCCACGCGTTGGTTTTTTCCACCACCACGCCACGGTAGATTCGCAACTCCCCCTGGGGCGTTTCCAGTCGACACCTCCAAACACCCATGAGCGGAGCACATCAACTGTGGAAGAAATCCTGCATCACTTGATGGTTTATCCCATATGGGTAAATTGGATGTTATCCATATGGGACATCCAGAAATGGATATCCCACATGGAAGAAATATACATAATGGATGTTTATCCCAGTATGGATAGGCTGAATCTGACTTTCTAGCAAGCTGGTGCATGATTTCTTCACAGATCAAATCATAGCTGGATTCTACGTCTCCAAATTTTGGGGGCACTTTTTTTTCGGACATTGGGGGCGTTTGATATGGCACTATTCTATGATCAAAATATCAAAACTCTAAGAATAGTAATTGTCTATTGAAACTGGATGGATTATGGGTTCATCGTTTGAATTTCTTGTGAATCCAGTTTTTTTTGATTTTTGGTGTAGCGCTGGGAACCTTAGCATTCCATTTTGTGGCTGACCATCACGGGCATGAAACCAGTTATTGTTTTATATTGTTTGATATTGTGTTGCCATGTTGGAGCTCTCAAAACCAAAATTGGCGCCTTGGGATACGGGCCGGATACGGGGATACGCGCCATGATGCGCAAATCTCTTGAAACTCATTGCAGGGTGTATGTACCCGCATTAAATACCAATGAGTAAATACATGTTGCAGTAGGTACTGTTAGATTGAAACACAAGGCATCTGGCTGAATTAAAATAACTAAACAACCTGAAAGTAACTGGAATAAACACATTTAGGGATGATCCCCCTTACTGACCATCATTCTGGAAGGCGACCATCGTCAAAGCTACCACTTCTCGACAGCTTCAGCGCAATGTCTTTCCATATTCCTCTCAGAATCCTCCAACCACCAAAATCCCCCCATCGATTCCTAAATATATCTATAAATAGAAATAACTATGCTATGAATATATGGTTATGAGTTATGAGTCAAAATCCTGGCGCCCTACCCTAAAATACTTGGTTCATGGATGGTTCCCCAAAATATGAGAATATACGTATGATAAATGGGTCAAACACCCTCTGGTAATTAAACATAGCTATTGAAAATGGCCCATTTATAGTTGATTTACTTTACCTATTAAAAATTGTGATTTTCCATAGCTATGTTAGTTTACCAGAGGGTGGCACATCCCCAAAAAGGCATGACAGGGCTGACCGACTGACCTGTCGAAGTAATGGATCACCATCCGCAGCTTCGCCAGCTCCTGTGGCTGCCGCGTGGAGACGCGAAACAGCAGCATGTCCTGACTGCGAGATGCGCTGTGGGCTCGGCAGGGTGGTAGGGATCTTGTTCATCCCTGGGTATTTTATCTATAATATATATATATGTGTGTGTGTATGTGTATATGTATATGCATATGTATATGTATAATATATCTATTATATATATATACTATTCATCATAAACATACCAATAGATAGCGCATCTTACATATATATATATATGTTTATTTATTTAGTTTTATTCATATTTACTCGTTTACTTATTTGCAGAATCTATATATATCTATATTTGTTGAGCTGACATCTATTGAGATGCTAAATATAATATGTGGATGACACAACATTATTTGCATCGACAGTTGCAATATGTTGCAATGAAAAGAGAGAGTTGTTTTTGGTTGGATATACGGCACAGAAGTGGATGTGCAAGTCAATCCGCATGACGCTCGCATCGACAATTAAAATGCAAGACGAACTTTGAGTGTGCGAGTCAATCCGCACGACGTCCGGAAACAATTACACCGGGAGCGTCGAGTATTTGTAAGATGAATATTTGATCATTTGTTTGCATTTATAGTACTTAATGCCATAAGCATAGCGATGCACATAATATTTATAAATTATTAGCTCATAACATCTCCCCCACACCAGAACGAATAAATAGACACACATTTTAAAGGATTTGTTTTGGGTAAACCAAATTTGTGGAAGACCTACTTTGAGGTGGGGGGTGGTAGGAGCCAAGGAAAAAAAAACAACAACAAAAACAAAGTTGTAGGAGACCTACTTTGGGATGGGAGAGGGGTAGGCTCTCAAATTCTTTGTTTTTTTTTGTTTCTTTTGTCTTTAGCAGATAGCAGATGGCAAATGGTTGGCATTGCAATGAAAAATGCAATCAAATAGAAGAAAAAGGCAGGTTCTGTTCGGCGGGTGAGCATATATGTATATATGCATATAGCTGATATCTAGTAAAATCTTTCATGATAACATGCTACTTCTCATCACTGGTAAGCCAACCTGTAGCTCTAACAAGATCCACGGCCAGTACTGCAGGACGATGCTGGCCGCTAGTATGCTTTGCCTGAAATTGAACTGGGTCATTTTTGAGGGTCGAATATTGGAAAAGAATTATTCCAGAGCATTTGGGACATGGAGTTTCCTAAAATTAGATTGGTGACGATTGGTGTGTTGCCAAACCATTGGTTTTAGCTTGCAGATGGTCAAACAAATGGATGACTTTGGGTCTCCAACTCTTAAGAAATGCTGACATATGCTGACAACGAACTGTTCATATGATGTGGGATCCACATGGTTTTTCTTATCCAAAGTATCCCCTACCCTGAGCCCCGCAGAGCCTGACACCTGGGATGATTTGCACCAATGGTTGGGTCGTGGATCCCCCAGCTGTTACTGCAACTTTGACATTCGTGGGCTGAAAGTACCTATTTAATCCTATTAGCATTTACATTTTGCACATCTGGCACCGTTTTCTACCCTTTACCTTCAACATAGATTTGCGCAACCCCACCAGCTCAAGAGATACAGCAGCAGTCCAAATGCGCAGCTGAGAGGCAAAGCAGGGGTATGGCATATCTCTAGCCAAATCAGTGATGGTGCAAAGGAACATATGCGCCAAAAGCGTCACCACCAACTCACGCCCCAGCATCAGATGGTCCACCACACCTGCGAAGTGGAATCACTTGGGTCAGGAAGGAAGATCTGCAGAGGGCCACTGGTTTTGTCCTAGGGAAACGCCATAAGCATCGCAGCAATATGCAGCAATTCAGTGGGCAAAGGCGGATCTCCAATCTCAGGAACCATTTCCAATTTGCATCAATTTGCGGATCAGAAGCCGGGATAATTGAAATCCGTTCAAATATAACTATACATACATACACACATACATATATATATATATTTATCAATAAATATATATATATAGTGTAGACACCCTGATCCACTCTAGCCATGTTGCCTTGCTGCAGCTTCTTGAGGTTGTACTCAGGGTACATTCGACTGGCAGATTGCACGATGAAGGGAAAAACCTCTGTGAAGAAATTGGCCTGGCAGTCCTTGGCGAAATTGCTTCTCAACATGCTGCAGCAACCAGGAAATTCTGTTTGCTGCTGAGAAATCATGAGCCACAAAAATTTGGAGCACTCAAATGATCCTGGAAGCCCCTTGGAACCCCAATACTAAACCATACTAAACCAAGGCTTCTGGGGGGTTTTGACCCAATATGTACAACAATATGTACCACTTGGTACCACTTGTGTTCGTGATGAACTACAGTAACCCTGTTACTGACCACTGGCAAACTCTCAGGACCATTGAGGGCCATTCAAGTGGTTCACGGCATTAAATTTTCTGGAACATGAGTACGAAACTTAAACATTTTAAAATCACAAAACGCATCCCCTAATGCTAAACCCACAACTCGCAAAGAATGTACCCTCTGGTAATTTGTTACATAGCTATTGAAAATGGCCATAGAAATAGTGGGTTTACCCATTGAAAATGGTGATGTTCCATAGTTATGTGACATTTTACCAGAGGGTAATGAATTGCATAGATCGATCCCTAAACCGCTCCCCGGTGCTGTTTTTGGACGCCAGAAACCGTGGGTGTTCCAAGGTGCCGCCCCGCAGAACCCGTCGTGAGGTATGGGTATGGAAGCCAGTTAGAAGGTGGGGAAAAATAAATACCCACCCCTCTGAAAAATATGAGTTCGTCAGTTGGGATGATGACATTCCCAACTGAGTGGAAAAATAAATTATAGGACCGGATAACCCCACATGTTAACAACTTCACCAGACTTAGACTGAGCATAGAAAGGCAACAAGGGAAGAGGAAGTATGAGAGTGATGGAGGGGTGATGGTGGGTGAGTTTGTGTGTGTGTATGTATGTATGTGCATGTACAGGTGTGTCACCTTGGTAGTGTGTTAACGATATGTGTACCGGATGAAAGAGGCAGTTTGTAATATATGTATATATATATATATGTGATGTACATGCGGATGTTATACGTATGCGTTGTATGTGTGTGTGAGGTGATATTATATTCGTGTGATGTGAGGAGGGGGGTAGTAATATAAATGTATGCAAACGCAAATATACTGATCTTGTTGCATGTGATGTGAAGTTATGATGCGTCAAGTGATGTTTTGGTATGTGATGTTGTGATGATGTATATGTGCTGTGTTCATGTTGTGCGTGTCTGTGTGCATATATGTGTGTGTACGTGAGTGCGTGGTTGTGCGTGTGTATGGTCATATGGTGATATGGTGATATGTTTGCGGCATATATACAAGAATCCGATGATGCATGTTTCAGTTCATATGTATATATAATCCTCCCGTCGCTTTGCAGAATTTTTTGCTTCTAGGCATATCGGTTGTCCAAGTGCCATAGACCAGCATCATGACCTGAGCAGACACAATAAATAGACAAGCCATGATAAGCTCACAAGCAATCAATCTGAATGAGCTGAGTTGATGCATCGTCGTGCCCTGCTTCTGAACAGCCATATTTTTTTCTGGTCAGCGAAGTCAACAAGTCGCGTTAAATTTGCACAAAGATGAAGAAATTCAGCAGTCAAACGCGAGAAATCTCTATGCCTCATTGCCCAAAGCACACGGAGCTAGGAAAATCAGCAGGACGCTTCAAGACCAGTCTCCGATTGACTGCTGCGGACCAAACATAAGCTCACATCTCTTCGTCGCATTGGGTGGCTGCGACTTCGGATGATGCCGGTAAAGTGTTCAGCCAAGCTTTGGAGCTACGCGCCTCTT